GCCTGGCTGATTTTTTTTTATTTTTAGTAGAGACAGGGTTTCACTATGTTGGCCTCGATCTCCTGACCTTGTGATCTGCCCGCCTTGGCCTCCCAAAGTGCTGGGATTACAGGCGTGAACCACCACACCCGGCTGGAATTCTCATTATTAAAGATGGTACCTGGCCAGGCGCGGTGGCTTACACCTGTAATCCAAGCACTTTAGGAGGTCGAGGAGAGAGGATCACTTGAGGTCAGGAGTTCCAGACCAGCCTGGACAACATGGCAAAACCCCATCTCTACTAAAAATACAAAAATTAGCTGGGCGTGGTGGTTTGCACCTGTAATCCCAGCTACTCTGGAGGCTGAGGTATGAGAGTCGCTTGAACTCCGGAGGCAGAGGTTACAGTGAGCCGAGATGTGCCACTGTACCCTAGCCTGGGCGACAGGGCGAGGGTCTGTCTTAAAAAAGAAAAGAAAAAAAAAGTGGTATCCATGTCTCAATTTTAAAAAACAGCTATACTATTTATGTGATAGGTATATAATTAATGTATGAGTATTCCCAGACTTCCCTTCCACTAAGGAGAATTTTGTCTTTATCTGCTTAGGTTCTTTTCCCCTGATAATGCCTTCTACTGGAAAATTCTGGGTTTGCCAGATGGGTTCAAGGCTTTTTGTGCTGGAGGAAAAAAAGAATCTTTAAGATGCTAAATTGGTTGACATAATAAAGAACTGAGAAAACCACGCAAGATAGGGAGGAGACAGAAGAGGTGGACGGGCTGAGTGTCATGGATTTGGAACCTGACAGGCTCTGCAGCTGCTGTGGAGAATATAGCTGGGAACAAAGAGGAAGGACTTTTGAGTGGTTTTACTATGGATTATGAGTTAAAATCTTTTTGATTCCTTTCAAATTACTCTTGATTGCTGGAATGACTGTGCTGCTTTGAGTGGGATTCTGTGTTGTGACCAAGATGGCCAAATGGAGGCCTCTGTTTGTGTGTATTACAACTGTTTGAGATTCTCAGAGCCTATCAGAAAGTTCATGCAGATCAGGTAAGTGGCCTCATGTTGAAACTCAGAAAAATTAATTTCTCATTCAGTTGACCCATTGGCTGCCATGGTGCTTTTGTCTTTTTAATTTTTTTTTTCTTCTTGAGGCAGAGTCTCGTTCTGTCACCCAGGCTGGAGTGCAGTGGCGGGATCTCAGCTCACTGCAACCTCTGCCTCTGGGTTCAAGCGATTCTCCTGCCTCAGCCACCTGAATAACTGATTACAAGCATGTGCCACCACACCTGGCTAATTTTGTATTTTTAGTAGAGGCAGCATTGCACTGTGCCACGACCTCTGGATAATTTTGTATTTTTAGTAGAGAGAGTTTTTCACCACATTGGCCAGGCTGGTCTCGAACTCCTGACCTCAAGTGATCTACCCGCCTCGGCCTCCCAAAGTGCTGGGATTATAGGTGTGAGCCACCAGGCCTAGCCTGTCTTTTTAATTTTAAATTGTTTTTGTTGTTCATATCATGTTTAAGATACCCATATTAAGGATAATCGAATGTTCCAGTTGGCCTGGGACAGTCCTAGTTTACCATGTTGTCCTGGAATAATTATTAATAGTACCTATTTTCACTCAAAATATCCCTGGTTTGGATGATAACTCATATAGTCATCTTACCCATAAGGAACCACTAATGAAGAGAGGAAATGTAAGTGTAAGTCAGTAAGGAGCATCAAAATAACAATTTGGTAAATTCTCAAGAGAATCTGCAGATTCATAAATTGCATTCTTCTGATAAAAATTATACAACACATCAAGATGTAAAGAAAATTAGAGAATCAAGCCAAGATGTCTAATATCCAACAATTCCAGAACGATATAGGTAAGGAAAATAAGAAAAATACTTCCTAGACCTGAAAGAAAAATGTCTCCAAATTTAATAAGACCATAAAGTACCTAGAGCACAATACCTTAACAGCAACAACAACAAAACCATTCCAAGGCATATAAATATTTAGGACACCAGAGATAAAAAGACAACCCTAAAAAGTTTCCAGAAAGAATAAACTTGCCTCATACCCAGATCAAGAATCTGATGTCATATGACATCAGAATTCTTCAGAGCAACATGAGAAATTAGAAGACAATGGAACAATGCCTCAAAAATTCCGAGGGCAGTATGTTCCAACTTAAAATTGTATCTACTCTTATTTTATGAGACGGAGTCTTGCTCTGTTGCCCAGGCTGGAGTGCAACAGTGAAATCTCAGCTCACTGTAACCTCTACTTCCCAGATGCAAGTGATTCTCCTGCCACAGTCTCCTGAGTAGCTAGGACTACAGGCGTACGCCACTATGCCTGGCTAATTTTTGTATTTTTAGTAGAGACAGGGTTTTAACATGTTGGCCAGGCTGGTCTCAAACTCCTGACCTCAAGTGATCTGCCTGCCTCGGCCTCCCAAAGTGTTGGGAGGCATGAGCCTCCATGCACAGCCTCCACTCTATTAAAGTTTTGAATGTAGGAATTCGTATTTTTATATATGTGTGTTCCCAAAATCTTTACCCCTCAAAGCATGCTCTCTCAGGAAGCCACTAAAGGATATGCTCCACCAGAAGAAAGGGGTAAAGCAAGAATGAGGGATTGCTGGCCATGCCATAAAACAAGCTCTGAACACTAGAGAGGTGAGGAGTCGTCTTAGGATCAGAGTGAGGCGAAGCTGTGAATAATCACAGTGTAGCAATCAGTCCAGACTGGAGCAGGAAGACACAGAGCTGGGGTTACGGGGATTGGGTGGTGGGGGTGAGGGGTGGGGGTAATTACCCAGTGAATGCAAATGTAATGAGAGGAGAGCTGTACTGTGGCAAAAGAGGGTATGGATGAATTAGTGATGATCACACAAATTTAAGCCAAAAATTTAAATATATTATTAACCAGGGAAAACAACAAGGGAAATATAATCAGCGTAGTATAAGGATTATAGATACTTGCCTAATAATATTAAAAATTCTGAATACTGAGCATATCAAAATTGTGATCTAAATTTATCTGGAAGATGGGTGTGACTGGGAACAGGTGTAGGAGGTGTGTGTTTAAGATAGCCGCATTTTCATCTTCCACAGCATAAAGCTAGTATCTAACCTAGAGGGAAAAACGTTCTGCAGCAGCAATATAGGTCTGTTATTTAGAAATCTCAAGATAAATAGCAAAGAATATTGCTAGAAGAGTTGAAATTATTTTGTGCAGAAGCTGGGGATGGTGACAGGAATGCTGTTGTTATTATAAGCTTTGGAGTACTTTTCAATTTTTAAACCCCATACATCCACTTCAATAAAAATGAAATTTAAAAATAAATGTTGACAAACATTTTTATGTAATGAATGTAACATATCCCTTTGTTATGATGAAGAACATTAACATTTGTCTTTAAGAATTTTTTTTTTGAGATGGTGTCTTACTCTGTCACCCGGCCTGAGTAGCAATCTCGGCTCAATGCAACCTCTACCTCCCAGGTTCATGTGATCCTCCCACATCAGCCGCTTGAGTAGCTGGGATTATAGGCACACACCACCATGTGCAGCTAATTTTGTATTTTTGGTAGAGATGGGGTTTCCCCATGTTGCTTAGGCTGGTCTATGAACTCCTGAAGTCAAGTGATCTGGACCACAGCCTCCCAGAGTGTTGGGATTACAGGTGTGAGTCACTGTGCATTGGCCCATCATTTGTCTTAATATATAATATTAGGCTGGAGTGCAGTGGCACAATCATGGCTCCCTGTAGCCTCGAACTCCCAGGCTCAAGCGAGACTCCCACCTCAGCCTCCTGAGTAGCTGGCACCACAGGCATGCACCACCATGCCCCAGATAATTTTTATACTTTTAGTAGAGGAGTGGTCCCAGCTGTGTTGCTCAGGCTGGTTTAAGAACTCCTGGGCTCAAGTGTTGGGATTACAGGCGTGAGCCACCGCCCCCAAGGAGCTTCATGAGTAGCTGGGATTACAGGCATGCACTACCACACCCAGCTAATTTTGTGTATTTTTAGTAGAGAGGAGGTTTCACCATGTTGGCCAGGCTGGTCTCAAACACCCGACCTCAAGTGATTCCACACTTCGGCCTCCCAAAGTGCTGGGATTACAGGCCTGAGCCACTGCACCTGGCCTATTTTTCTATTTATTTATTTATTTATTTTTTTGAGATGGAATCTTGCTCTGTCACCCAGGCTGGAGTGCAGTGGTGCCATCTCGTGCCCGGCCTTGTTTTGTTTTAATACTTTAAAACAACTAGCAAGAACTTTATCATCCTATAAATGATATTGGTTGGGTGTTTTTTGGCACAGTTGGAATGTTTGGTATTTCCATTTCCTTAAGAAGCAAATGGACAATTTTGGCATTTTGGACGCTCCATATGGAGGTCAGCAAATTACAATTCTGCACCCTGGGGAGGACATAAAACCATTTTCACCTTAATATAACTTTTAAATGATACACCACTCCTAAATTATAAAAGGATGCAAATTTTGTAGGGGGTTCAGATGTGTAAAAAAATGTTAGGAGAAGCGATCTCCTCTAGAACATCTATCCTACCCTATCAATTGTTTTGTTGCCAGATTCAAAACTTTGGCCGCGCACGGTGGCTCATGCCTATAATCCCAGCACTTTGAGAGGCCGAGGCGTGCAGATCACCTGAGGTCAGGAGTTCGAGACCAGCCTGACCAACATGAAGAAACGCTGTCACTACTAAAAATACAAAAATTAGCCCGGCGTGGTGGCGGGCGCCTGTAACCTCAGCCATTCAGGAGGCTGAGGCAGGAGAATCGCTTGAACCCGGGAGGTGAAGGTTGCAGTGAAACAAGCTCAGGCCATTGTACTCCAGCCTGAGGGACTGTTTTATTCAAGGCCACAGAGTTTATCAACAGCAGAAGGGCTCACGTGGCTGGGAGGCAGTGGAAAGCGAGTGTGTGAGAGGGGGTTTCGTGAGGGAAGCAAGTCCCGCGTGGACGGATGGCTGTAACGGGGCATGGGGGCCCTTACCCGGCCGAAAGAATAGGAGGGCACTGGTGAGGTAGCTCAAAAGCTCCTTGATCTGATGCCTTTCCAAATACTCCGCGGCTTGGAGCTCCCTGTTGCTGGTCTCCATCGGTTCGCGTCCCGCTGTTGCTAGGCGACTGCCTGGCGTCCCAGCCGTACGACTCCGCCTCCCTCTCCCTGGCGCGGTCACGTGACGCCCCTGACTCCGCTGTGGCTGCGACCCAGACCTGGAATTTCTAGTGCTCAACATTCAGGGCAAGCCTGGGGAATGTAGCAGGGCAGAGAGGGCAGGTGAGGTGTGAACCAACGTCACCGTCCGGGATTCAGGCTGAGGGCTGGGCCCAAGTGCCTTTTTCCGTTTCTCTTTCTAGCACCTAGCTCGGTACTTGTTGATCCAATGATTAACAAGGCTTGAAGTGCTGGCATCACAACTCAGCATGAACTAATAACAGAAGGAACTTGTGCAATTTTGAGGGTGCCCAGTGGAGAGTTCTAAGTGGCATCTTCGGTGTGAGCGGCCTGCAGGCATGGCGCTGGCCACCAGGCAGGAAGGTCTTGGCCTGTTGGCTCGACTGGGTTGTGGGCCACAGAGCAGCCTGGATCCTGAGCTTCAACCCGTTTGCTGGAGCTGGTCTTAGGAGAGGGAGAGCACCTGACAGATTTATTTATTCATTCATTCATTCATTCATTCATTCATTCATTCATTCATTCAGAGACGGATTTTCGCTCTTGTTGCCCAGGCTGGAGTACAATGGTGCGATCTTGGCTCACTGCAACCTCCACCTCCCAGGTTCTAGAGATTCTCCTGCCTCAGCCTCCCAAGTAGCTGAGATTACAGGCATGCATCACTACACCCTGCTAATTTTTTTGTACTTTTTAGTAGAGATGGGGTTTCACCACCTTGGCCAGGCTGGTCTAGAATTCCTATCCTCAAGTGATCCACCCACCTTGGCCTCCCAGAGTGCTGGAATTACAGGCGTAAGCCACCGTGCCTGGCCCTGACAGTTGTTTTCAGGGAGGGTCACTGAGTAAGGTGGGATGCAAGTAGCTAGGAGGGCCTCTACTCAGGCATGGAAGACCTGAGAAACTAAAACTCTGGGCTGGGCCATCTGTCCTTGAGGGCCTGTGCCCACGTCCTTCACCCAAGAGTTAGCCCGGAAGCAGCACTTCAAGAAAGGGAATGACAAATGGTCAGTGAACATGTGAAAATATTCTAAGCCTCTTTGACAATCCAGTAAACAAAACTACAAGAAAATACCATTTCACATCTACCAGACGGATAAAGATTATGAAGTTGAACAATATCAAGTGCTGGCAAAGACGTCCACAATTAGTGAGATGGTCAGTGATCTTGGGAGCATAAATTGGAACATCCACTTTGGAAAACGGTTTAGAATTATCTTGGTAATTTAAACATGTTTCTACACTCTGACCCAGAAATTCCACTCCAAGAGCAGCTCTTGTCAATGTCCACCAGGAGACATGTACAAGAATGTTTATAGCGGCACCATTCATAATAGAAATCACTGACAACAGACCAAATACCAAGAGAAAAATGGATTTTAAAAACTATGGTATAAAGCCAGAAGCGGTGGTTCATGCCTGTAATCCCAGCACTTTGGGAGGCTGAGGCGGGCGGATCACAAGGTCAGTAGATCAAGACCATCCTGGCTAACAAGGTGAAACTCCGAGTCTACTAAAAATAAAAAAAAATCAGCCGGGTGTGGTGGCACATGCCTGTAGTCCCAGCTACTCGGGAGGGCGAAACAGGAGAATCGCTTGAACCCGGGAGACGGAGGTTGCAGTGAGCCGAGTTTGCGCCACTGCACTCCAGCGTGACCACAGAGCGAGACTCGATCTTAAAAAAAACATAAAAACTATGGTATATTACACATGAATACTATGAACCATTTCAACAGTCAGTTGTAGCTACTTGCAACAATATAGGTGAATTTCAAAAACATTGCTTCAAGAGAATGTATACTATATGAATCAATTTAAAGTTTAAGAACATACCAAACTGAATATATTGTTTACAGATTCAAACATATGTAAGAAATCTATCAAGAAACACAAGAGAATGGTAAACACAAAGTTCAGCACAATGTTTGCCTTGGAGGTAGGAGAAAAGGGAATGGGTTTAGGGAGGAATATCCTGAGGACTGCAGGATTCATTCTAATATGATTTTTCTTTAATTGAGGGGTGGGTTCACAGGTGTTCATCCGATTATGATTCTTTATACCCTATATATGTATTTTACAAAATTTTTTTATCTGTTCAGCATTTAGTAAAAATAATTTTTCAGCAGTTGAAAGCTATTATCCTTAGCAAACTAACACAGGAACAGAAAACCAAATACCACATGTTCTCACAAGTGGGAGTTAAATGATAAGAACACATTGACATAAAGAAGGAAACGACAGACACTGGGGTCTACTTGAGGGGGGAGGGTGGGAGGAGGGAGAGGAGCAGGAAAAATAACTACAGGGTACTGGCTTAATACCCGCGTGATGAAATAATATGTACAACAAATCCCCTTGATATCTGCTTACCTACAAAACAGACCTTCACATGTACCCCCAAACCTAAAATTAAAGTTAAAAAAAATAGAGTGGAAAGAGGGGATAAAAAATGAATGCTGGGAGACTGAACCAAGTCTGAAACAGAAAGTAGGCATGTGAACATGCAAACAGAAAGTGGGCACCGTATCTCCAGAGGGCAGGCCCACCTTGAGAATGCTGAGCTATCTAGCAGGCCAGAAAAGCCCTGATCATCTGGGAGAACTAGAGGAGATTTTAGGGCTGTTTGGGTCCTTGGTGCAACTTTGAACAGAGAGAAGGGATAATGCTCTTGTCCCCAAAGTCTAGAGGAGGTGTTCTGAGGAGGGAAAGACTTACTCTCTGAAAAGACTTGAAAGCTGTGTGCCCAGGGCAAGGTGAGATGCCTTATCCTGTAATCCCATCACTTTGGGAGGCCAAGGCAGGAAGATTGCTTGAGCCTGAGTTTGAGACTAGCCTGTAATGCAGGATTTTCTTCTTGGTCACTTTGCAAGCCAGAGACCTCTAGCCTGTGATTCCCTACCCAGGCCTCACTCTCCTGCAGCAGGAGACGGCCTGCCCACTCAGCCCACCCAGGCTGAGTCTGGCCTGTGCTCCAGTCCTGGAGTTCTTATCCTGAACCCGGGAAGAATGAAGATGCGCTGAGAATAGAAGAGTGAGCAAGGCGGGGAGTTTTATTGAGTGACAGAATAGCTCTCAGCGGAGAGGGGATCCGGGGGCTGTGGGGGGCAGGTTGGGTGCCCACCCCAACAGTCAGGTAGTTTCTCCCTGTGCTGCTGGGTCTGGGGCCTTTTATGGACTCAGAATGGGAAGTATGTGCTAGTTGGTGTGTGAATATGCAAAAAAGGTTAAAGACACCACTCAAAGGTGGGCACGACAATGTAGAAAACCAATCAGGAAAGGGTAGGTATATAATAGGTGAAGGGTGAGGATCAGTCAGAGGAAAACATGCCAAATGGGAAGACAAGTTCTCAGTCTGGTCTGAGGATTTAACTTGTAGCTTGGCTTTCAGGCTTTAAACTGTCTTTGGCTTGGAGGTGGGGTTTCACAACTGACTTACCGCTATGTGCCCAGGCATTTGGCTGCCTCCTGTTGCTATCACCTAGCCAACATGCAAAACCCCATCTCTACCAAAAATACAAACATTAGCCAGCTGTGGTGGCACACACCTGTAGTCCCAGCTGCTCAAGAAGCTGAGTCATGAGACTCATTTGAACCTGGGAGGTGGAGGTTGCAGTGAGCTGAGATTGTGCCACTGTACTCCAGCCTGGGCAACAAAGCAAGCCTCTGTCTCAGAAACAAAACAAACAAAACACTATGTGCCCAAATCTGCGCCACTGGCTTGGGTTTGTAAGAAGGGTCTTTCAGAAGGATGTTGGAGGCTGTTCTACAAACTTTTTAATAGCAGAATACTTAAAAAAAAAAAAAAAAAATCACATGTGGAATCTCTTCCCATTACCCCTCTCCCCAAATACATACACAATAGATAAAAGAACACTATCCTGGAATTCACATAGAATAAGATCACATTTTCATGTTTTATTTTTTTGAGACTCAGTCTGTCACCCAGGCTGGAATGCAATGGTGCCATCTCGGCTTACTGCAACCTCCCCCTCCCAGGTTCAAGCGATTTTCCCACCTCAGCCTCCCAAGTGTCTGGGATTACAGGCACCTGCCATCATGCCCAGCTAATTTTTGTATTTTTGTATCTTTCTTACAGAAGCATGGTTGGCTGCCTGCGTGATCATAGTGACAGAGTTAACTGGAGCCTGGGGAGCTCTGACGCAGGGACAGAACTAAGCTGACAAAGTTGATGCATTGTTCTGGTGCCTGTGGATCCGAGGGCCCTCTCTGAAGCCTGGTTCCCGATGGGTTCCGGGGAGTTTGAAAACTACTGATGTGGACATTATTCTTCAGTGTTTTTGTTTGTTTGATCCACTCCTCTGGGGACTTGCTTTACTTTCAGTAGTAGAAGGGAGAGTAAAGCATAAACATGAAGACCCAAATTATGCACCCCTCCTTCAAATTCTGGCTGTCTAAGCGCTTGATCCTGGAGGGTTGATCAAAGCCGTATGATCACTCAGGAAAGCGGCTCTGGCTCTGCTTCGCGGCCAGTACAGCAGAGGCCCGGCGATGACAACAGGGATGAGAAATGGAGGGGAAGCCTGCAGCAGTGACAGTGACTATGAGAAGCAGGAGACCACAGGCCTGGGGAGGCGAGTCACAGCAGACAGAGGGGGCTGCTTTACCGTCTGCTGTCATGATATCCATCGACTTGCCCAAGGCCAGAGTGGCCTAAACAAAACAAAGTGGAAAAAATGTCAGGAACATTCCTTAATAAGGGAGAGAAGACAAAGTCCTGGTCCCCTGTATATAGTGGTTTCTACTCAGTGCTATGAAGCACAAGACATTTGGTCTTCTCCTGGAGAATGTCATATATTATTTTTCTGAGACAGTCTTGCTCTGTCGCCCAGGCTGGAGTGCAGTGGTACCACCTCGGCTCACTGCAACCTCCGCCTCCCAGGTTCAAGTGATTCTCATGCCTCAGCCTCCCGAGTAGCTGGGACTACAGGCATATACCACCACGCCCAGCTAATTTTTGTATTTTTTTTTTGTAGAGATGGGGTTTCTCCATATTGCCTAGG